GGCACAAAATGGGTGTTTCGTAACAAACTCGATGAAAATGGAGTAATCACTAGAAACAAAGCTAGGCTTGTAGCTAAAGGCTACAATCAAGAAGAAGGCATTGATTATGAAGAAACTTATGCACCGGTTGCACGTTTAGAAGCCATTCGTTTATTACTTGCATTTGCATCTACGATGGATTTTAAACTTTATCAAATGGATGTTAAAAGTGCCTTCCTTAATGGTATCATTCAAGAGGAAGTGTATGTCGAACAACCCCCGGGTTTCGAAGACTATGAGTTTCCCGAACATGTCTTCAAACTCAAAAAGGCGCTTTACGGTCTCAAACAAGCACCTCGTGCTTGGTATGAACGGTTAAGCAAATTTCTTTTGGACCATGAGTTCAAACGGGGTCAAGTCGACACTACACTTTTCATCAAGAAAGATAACCAAGACATCCTTTTGGTTCAAGTTTACGTAGAAAAAAGTACTAAACTAGGACTTTCATATTTTTTTCTCGAAATAGAACTTCGCATTGTGGTAATGTGACACTGTACATGTGCACATTACTATGCTTTTTGGTAATGTATATGACCATCTTTGGTAATGTAATGCATTTTAAATCCTATTTCGGAAATAAAAACATGGAAGTTCTATTTTGGTATATTTTCAATATTTTAGTCCTACTTTGGTCTTTCTCCCTTTAAGTAATCCTTATGCTCTATCTCTTACAAAATTATTGTCGCCTTTTGAAAAATGTGCAAAATTGAATATCTCTCTCTGTGTGTGTGTGTGTGTGTGTGTGGTGTGTGTGTGTGTGAAAGATAAAGAATGATTTTTTGTGATATTTAGATATAGAATAGTATGTCAGAATGATTTTTTAAACGAATACTTCAAATCTAGATTTTTTAACATAATTATAGCATGTTCTTGAGGGATTAAACTCTTAACTTCCAGTTTTTTCTAGTTCCTCTTAGTTTCTTCTAGTTTCTTTCAGTTTCTTCCAGTTCCTTCTAATTGCTTCCAACTATTCTCGTTTTCTTCGAACTATTTCCACTCCCTAACCAATTACTCTAAAAACGATATACTTTTAATGTGATTATTATTATTATTATTATTATTATTATTATTATTATTATTATTATTATTATTACAATTGTTATGCTCATAACTATAGTTTATAAATTATTGTTTTGATCTCACTATTTTTACGATTCACACTCATTATTTTTTTCTTCAACTTTGTAATATGAATAAAATAATTTTTTTTGTATTAATCTACACGATAAAATAGGAAAATATCAATATTTTAAACTATATTAAAAATTATGAATAAAATAGTTACATAGAATGTTTTATTAATCTAACTTTATATAAGACCTCTCACCTTTCATTTTATTACTCAAATTTTTCTCATTTTCTAATTTTAATAAAAAATTGAAAGTCAAAATAGTTTAGAGAAAAATAATAAAATAGGAATAAAATATAAAAAATGTGAAAAAAAGTTTTATGTCTTTATTCCAAAAATAGGAGTTACGATGAAAATAAAATGTCAATCATGAAAGAAAAAATAGGTTTAATTACATTATGTGCATGTCATATATTTAAAACAAAATCTTGTAATATATAAAGTACAATTACAAATATACTATTTATAATAAATACTGCATAATTAAATTGAGATGCAACGTAGCCATAATAACTTTTTGAAATTTTACATTTTGATATTTATGCTAACTTTATATTATAATTATTTTTTTGCAAAAGTAATTTTTTATGTATGAAAAATAACAATACTTTTTTTTCTTAGAGACATTCATTAAGATAACGTGATGATGATGATGATAATAATAATAATTTATAACAACAAAAATTAGAATGAGAATAATATAAAAATACATTAAAATAAGTTTTTTTAAAGTTTTTTAGGTTTTCTAATTTTTTGAAGTTTTTCTAGTTTCTTCTAGTTTCTTCCAACATCTAACTTTTTTTTCCAGTTCTAAAGAACAAGCTCTTAGCAAGGAATATCAAAAGTTACCGTACTAGTTTTGTAAACAGAGTATCTGTATTTTCAAATAATTAGTTATTGCGAATGAATTTTTTTCTACATCTTCAGTGTATATTAATCAATTAATTTTTTATTTCATAGAACAAATAAATCTATATAAATAATAATAAATTAGTAATAATGATAATAATAATATTATTATTGTTATACAAATTTTAACTTTTACTTGGACAAGATAAAATACATTTATATCATAGATCTAATTAGATCAAAGTTCCACCAAATTTGATGAGATGAAATTTATTTTAATTTAGAACAACTTTAGTTTGGAACAATCAAACAAGTTAGGTACAAAATTAAACACAAAGATGCAAAGGCTACCGGCTTTAACTTTTGAACATAAAATAATTGTCGACACATGCTTGAATGATCAAATGATTGAATGCACATCTTCCTACCACTGCATACTCGCCCATTTGTAGAACTAGAGAATTGAAACAGGCATCACCGGAAGTCAAATCTCAGATCTTTTGGAAAGAAAAAAGCATTTGGAAGTTGAAGAAGTGGAATGGGATTTGCGTGTGATTGGCAAAAGGATTCGGACAGTGGGTATTTTGCTGGGGGCTTCCGAAGCATTGTGAGGAGGAAGCAGGTTGATTCCGCCTCTGCCTCTTCTAATCATTCAAATCAATCATCCTCTCCTTCTTCTTCTTCCTCCGGGCACGGCAGATTTCACAATCATCATCAACTGGCCAAGGCTTTGACTGTCCCTCACCTCATTGCCATAGGTACAACTACTACAAAAACAGGAATTGGTTTACCATTAGTCTCTCATAATTATTTTTTAGTCTTTATTTTGGGAATATATGTATTCGTCTTCTGCCATTCTAGGCACTTTGATGTACTGATGTGGATGATACTCGTCCTCAATAAAAAAGGTTAAGAGTAAATTTCATAAAAGGTCCCCAGTTATAGGCCGTTTTACATATTTAGTCCCTACATATCAAATATTACTAATTTAGTCCCCAATTATTATATTTATTTCCACGAATGGTCCTTTGTTAACATTTTCGTTAAAAACGTGGGCAAAATTATAAATTCACACTCCTTTCTCTCTTCAATTAGGCTTCCCTCCTCCCTTGCACACCTTTCTCAAACCCGTCGCTGAGTTTCTAGCTTTGAACCCTAAACCAAAATCATCACTCTTCTCTCAATTGTATGTTTAACTGGAGGAACGATCATTTAAGTTTTCGGTTTAAGAGATTCAAACTCAGCGACGAGTTTGGAAAAGAGTATGAGAAAATGGAGAAAACTTAATTGAAGAGAGTGAGGAATATGAATATACAATTTTGTCCACGTTCTTAACAGAAATGTTAACAAAGGACCATTCGTGGAAATAAATATAATAATTGGGGACTAAATTAGTAATATTTGATATGTAGGGACTTAATATGTAAAACGACCTATAACTGGGGACCTTTTATATAATTTACTCAAAGGTTAATTGCAAATAGAGAAAAGTGTACCAATTACCCCGAACTTTTTGGAAATTGCACGGTTTATCCCTGAACTTAAAAAGTGCACCAAATACCCCGAATAATTTAAAATGGTGCACGGTTAGTCCGTTTTAATATATACAGGAAAATAATTTAAAAAACTAATGGTAAAGACTAAATGCCCCCCTCATATACACCATACGAGGCAATTTGTTTTGCTTTTGTTTCTTTTTTTATTTTATGATTTATTAAGCATTTAGATTAGAAATGTTAGCTGATTCAAGTTTAGGTGGATATTTAGATTGCAGTATGGGTTGACAGCGGTGGGGGAACCAGACGAGCAATCGTGTTAAACGGGCCACAGGCTGTTGGGTACATACTCCATACGGACAACTGGGCTAAAGACTAACGGGCCGCTAGGAATGAACGTCCAGACGGACACCTTGACAAACGAGTTGGGCCAAAACCTGCTCTGATACCATGATAGAATTTAGGATAGGGTAGTGATAACTGGATTGAGCAATAAGACACTTGGGCTGAACCACATTAAAAGATTGAATCCAATCGATTAGTTAGTTCAATTCAAGAGCTTATAAACCGATTATTTTACTCTTGGACTTACGATGTGGGATGCACTCTAACAAAGGGGAAACCGTGCAATTTCCAAAGAGTTCGGGGGTAATCGGTGCACTTTTCTCATTGTAATTATATGCTTGTATTAGATCCTTGGGCTTATGTCTCTTCTCTAAGTTATTCTGGAATGTGGAAAACAAACATACATTGTCTTGTACTCTTGGAAGTCATGAATGAGTACACAGATATGCCTGAAACCTAAAACCTAACATAGTATGAGTAGCCATGGTGTAAGGTTTTTCTTTCTTTGTCTTTTTCTTGGTGAGATTCTTTGGCATGCGGGACTAATGGGGCGTGCGAAGGCAGCACATCTAAGAACAACACTGAGAAAACCGGACAGAAAGACAAGGAGATCAAAACCACAGAGATTTTGACCCCAACAATACTTCCTGTAATTAACTTGGGTGCTTTATCACACAGTTCAGTTGTGCAGAGAAATTGTGGGAGAGTGTCGTATCATGGGAATGCAAACAGAATTTGTCTGAATGCAAACAACACAAAATGATGATAGATGCCTATCATGGGAAAACCTAGAAATTGTGGGAGGGTGTCGTAGTTTCCTGACATTGTTCAGTATTCAACTTGTTCTTATATACTCTGATCTTTACGACTTTACCTGTCTCATGGCATATTTTTCTATAGGTGTTGGTTCCACAGTTGGTGCTGGTGTTTATATTATAGTTGGCACTGTAGCCAGAGAGCAAACGGGCCCAGCACTCACCCTTTCCTTTTTAATTGCTGGGATAGCAGCTGCACTTTCTGCCTTCTGCTATGCTGAGCTTGCAAGTCGTTGTCCCTCTGCTGGGAGTGCCTATCACTATTCTTACATATGCGTTGGAGAAGGGTAATGCATAGAGTGCTATATTCTTTCCTGTAATAATATTCCGAGAAGTTATTAACCATGTACATGAATTCCAACGGAACACTTGCTACATTTTTCTCAAGGTTACATCTGTGTGTGGCATGTTTTAATGCATTTAATTTTGCCTCAGTGTTGCTTGGTTGATTGGATGGGCTATGATATTGGAATACACAATTTCTGGTTCTGCTGTAGCACGTGGCATATCTCCCAATCTGGTTCTGTTCTCACTCTCTAGTGTCGATGTCTTTGGTACATTTCTGTGCATGCTTTAAGCTTTACCATTGGATTTGTTAGTGCAAAACTGTTGAATCACACCAGATTTTCAGTTCTGGAATGTGCCTAGCTCATGTGTACTGATGTGTTTTCCGCACAGGAATGTGTTCTCTTTCTAAATATTAGCTATATATGGTGATGGTGTATGTACATTAAGTGGGAGAAACTATGTTTTCCTAATATAAATGTAGGATGATACAAGGAACTTAGAATACATAAATCTTCTAAGTCTTTTGTAAAGACATCATTGGTGACCCCATATTCCACAGTACACAAGCATCTTGTTAGTCGTTAATATGTGTGACTAATATAGGGATCAGTGGTGTAGATACAATTTCTACAATTTTATGCAGTTCAAGTTTTAATAATCTCTTCTTCCTTCAAGGTTAAGGAAAATATGAGAATCAGTAGGTACATGAGCCTTCAAAATTAGAAATTGGTATTATCTTTGAAGTATGTTACTAGTGAAATAGGGTTCACTCCTGGTTGATGGAAATGCATTCCTTCTTGAGCACGGTACCTAATGAAATAGCATTCTGGGTACAGAGCCCAAGTTTGACGAGTTTTAGATTTCATTCAATCTATTTAGACAAGTGCCACTATTTTGTTCATATTTGTGTTTTCACAAAATCTTTTGGGGACATTATTACTACTACCTCCGTGCAAAAAGGGGTTGTGTTTGAGATGCTAAAATCATCATCACAAACATCACTCATCTTTTGGAAGGGAGGGAGAGAGTGTGAGTATTGTCCTTCTCTTCTGCACTCTTTGATGTACTGTAAATGGTTCTACCTGGTTGGCGTATCATTTTGAGTCTGTGACACGTGTATGATCATCTTACCACACCAGACACCCTCAGCCACCAACCTACGAAAAAATAAAAAAAAACATCTATCACGAATGTGTGGTGTATCCACTAATCTGCCATTTCCATGTACTAATGCTTTCATTAATTTTTCTGTTCATTCACCAGGCTTTACTCTTTGGAGGTCAGGACCATTTTCCTACTTTTTTAGCCAGGCAGACAATCCCTGGGCTTAATGTTGTAGTGGACCCTTGTGCTGCAATGTTAGTTTGCATTGTCACTGGGCTATTATGCATTGGAATCAAGGAGGTATTCATTTTTTTTTCAATCCCTTTATTTATATAATTTTGTTTCCAATGATGAATTGTGTTCCCAAGTTGCTAATTAGAGAAAATAATTCTTGCAGAGTACAACGGTTCAAGGATTCATCACGATTGCCAATCTATTATCATTGGTTTTTGTAATCATTGCTGGTGGATATCTGGGATATATAACGGGGTGGCCTGGTTATGAGCTTCCTGTTGGGTAAATCTGTAAATGTTACTGTTTTTGTATTTCAATCTTTTTTAAAATTTTCTTTGTGGAACTGTTTTATTAGTGTTTTGTTGTCCATTAGGTATTTTCCCTTTGGGGTTAATGGAATGCTTGCAGGGGCCTCAACTGTCTTTTTTTCATATGTCGGCTTTGATACGGTTGCTAGTACATCTGAGGAAGTATGTGCTCATTTTCTCCATATTGCTACACTTATCAATTTTGTATCGATATGTTTTTTCACTTGTGAGATTTGATACCGTCACAATTACATCCACCGATCCACGGGCTTCCTACTTTTCATCAATAACAATATATACATGTTGATATTGTTTAAAGTATAAAAGTGTGTGTGTGGGGTTAGGTTTAAACGATGATGTTTTATTAGGAAAGAAAATGAGAAATACCACATGAGGTGTGTTCACTAAAGTGCATTAGCTTTACGGTGGAGGTGCATTTTCATTGACAATAACATGCAGATCATTAACAAATAATGTCCACATATTTACAAAAATGCCACCACTATAGCGTTGTAAAAATGAGTAACACAACTTTATAAGAAAATCTTAGTTTTATATTTTAAAAAAGAATGCCTTAAGTTTATTCTCATTTCTCTTTTGGGAAACTATTTTCACAATCTCACCTGACGTCACATACACACAAAGTTTCGACCCGATGTTACACCGCACACATTTTGGATCAAATGTGAATGATGCTTAATGAGAGAAATGAGAATACAAATGGTTCATTGGATTTATGATATGGTTATGAAAAAATGAAAATTTGAAAAAAAGTAAACACAGTAGCAACAACAACAACCCAATAGAATCCCTCAACAACATGGACTGGGGAGGGTATGTGTACGCACACCTTACCCCTGCTAAAAGTAGAGAGGCTGTAAAGAAAGTGAATACATCAATCTTTTCCGCCACCCCGAAATATGCACTACTTTCAATTAAAATGTGCAATGCGATGAACAAAAAATGCACCATTTTCATTTATCGCTTTAAGAGTCATTCTCAATAGAGCCGCACCTTTTGTGTGTGTCCAGGATATTTGTATACCACTTTTACTTGAGAACGTTCTTACACCGTCCTATAACATTCATATGGGGTGTGCTCAAGCAAAATCCAATGTGGTGTGAAAATCTCTCTCTCCTATATACATATGTGTGTGTGTGTGTACGTATATTACTATATTTGTATATTTATAACAAGAATGAAAATCACGATGTAATACAATATAACATTTTATATATATATATATATATGTATGTATATAATATGAATTACTAATTTATCATATTAATTCAAAGATAGAGTTTAATATTCATCTCTAATAAAGTAAACCATGAAAAATCAACTAAACGTAATGATATGATTCATATCGCTGCTATCCAAAAAACAAAATAAAAAGAAAATTAGCTATACAGATGAAACAAAAAACAAAAATGAAGAAAACGAGAAAAGGGAAGAAACAAACAGAGAAAGAAAGAAAGAAAAAATGGGCAAAAAAGAAAGGGCAAGCTTACCAAGCAGCGGTGAGTCATGTTCTTATAAATTATCTCAATTTCATCTTTAGTCCACCTTGTCATGTCCCTATACATTGGTGCCTTACGCTTAGGTGCACCTAAAACGTCTTTAGTTGTGCATAAATACCATTCATTATCTTTATTCAAGTAAAGTTTTCCATTGTATTCAGTGTTAAGTTGACCCTTTAGTAACCTGGTCAACGAAGGCCTTGATATTACTTTCTTTAGCTCCACCATATCATTTTATGGAGTACCTGATCTTTTCTTTAAATTATATCTTGTACAAATGCCAAACACCCTTAATTTATATTGAGTATTTGTACTCAAGCTTATAAAAGGAAATATTAGGCAACAAGGTGAAGAGTGGTGCAAGCCTTGAATTAATATAAATTAAGTAGTAATGTTAACAACTGGGTTATTTTGACAGACTACTAGTGTCTTAATATGACACTGGTCAATTTGAGCACCCTACAGTGCTCCATTTGACCCCGTCCCCCCCAATTAATCCCCCAAAATTGGTTGACATTTTGGTCGAAATGTCAACCAATTTGAAGTTGTTCCTGTTCTCAACCCCCTTGTAAACCCCAACCCAACCCCCCAATCGAACCCCTCAAATTGGTTGACATTTCGACCAAAATGTCAACCAATTTTGGGGGATTAATTTGGGGGGGGGGGGAGAGGAACCCCTTCGGGGTCAAATGGAGCACAATAAGGTGCTCAAAAGCCACAAGTGTTATGACACTGGTGGCCAGCGTCAAAATAACCAAAGTGTAAATAACACAGACAATTCATAATGAAAGTTCCATGGAATAAGAACTTGACATGTTGAAATAAAAACCCACACATTATTGTCCTCATCAGTGTTAGTTTTTTCCTTTGCAATATACTTTGTACCACATCTTCTAGGTTCTCTAATTTTGATGTTTATCTTTACGTTTATGTGTTTACCTAACAAGCTCATTTACACTATGTTGCCACAAATACATTTAATAATTTGTTTATCAAAAATACTTTATGCCATATTTTTTTATTTTGGCAGAGGGAGTAGTATTTATAGGCAGTAATCCTTTTCCTTGTTAGTATTTTAGTTAAAGCATTACTATACCTTGTTGCTTGGATTAGTATTGTAAAGGCTCCTCAACCTATAAATTGAGGGTCACTTTTTGTTTAGTGTATTAGAGTTTTTGTTCAGTTCACGGCTCGAAGTGAATGAGAGTATGGCTCTTTTTCCTATGTAGCTATACTCTTATACTACTTCCTCGATGAAATACTCATGTTTATTTCTTTCGGGCATTTTCATATCAAACTGTGCCTTAGTCCTAATCGCCCTTTGACCAAAGAGAGAGCATACGCCGCAAAGCATAACAATGAAGCAATAACCATTTCATGCTTATCAACTACACCGGTGTCTAGGAAGTGTAGCATGTCACTGAGTAGGAAATATTGGCACTCATATTGGTTCATGATAATATATGTGGCTTTAATACCGTCAACTTACTGCAAATTCATTCATAGATGTTAATAGTGATTCAACTAGGGTCATGAAAATATGATCCATGAAGAGAGACCTAAATGAATTGGTAGTATGGACTAGTGAGTTGAATATTGGTGAGAAATACTATTCATCAATTTCATCATAAAGCATTAGTACTACCATTGCTATTTCTAAATACTTTAATCATTCAGAAGAGTTTTTTTTTTCCTATTGTTCTGTAACAGGTGAAGAATCCTCAGCGCGACCTGCCATTGGGGATTGGTCTAGCATTAATGATATGCTGCATGCTTTATATGTTAGTCTCAGCTGTTATTGTCGGTTTGGTTCCCTACTTTGCTATGGATCCTGATACCCCTATCTCCTCCGCATTTGGGAGCCATGGTATCAAGTGGGCTGTGTAAGTACTACATCTTTTGGCCTGTTCTGTTCCACCAAAGCAAACTAAACTATTTTTTTTAAACGTAATCTTGGCTGCTTCGTTTCTAGATATATAATAACTACTGGAGCTTGTACTGCTCTTTGCTCTACACTGATGGGTGCCCTCTTATCTCAGGTAATTCAACCGAATCAGTTTAAACCAATTGTGGTTCTATTTTTAATTGGGTAAATAGGAGGTCCATTAAGAGGCATACCCCTTAGATTACCATGATGTGCAGACATTATATTTCTAAGGGAGGGTAATGAGCACAGCCCATTGCACATTCTTGAGATGTGTGTTTAAGTATATTAGGGCCTGTTTTATGGGAAAAGTAGTGTTGGAATGGAAATATGGAATGAGTCTTCCGTCTTGAAATTTGGAAGGAATGAAATCTTTTTTTAATCTTGAATAACAACTCTTTGGAAGTAGTGGAATGGAAAATGCAATCAATTTCCATTGGTGGTAGGCTGGTAGCAAAGGAGGTGGCAGCAAGTATCAAGGACTGTGGAGTGTGAGAAAATATCAGATCTGGAGTGTATAAACAGAGTGCTTTAATTGTGGTAGTACTGTCCAGAATTCTGTGTCCATGCATATAAATAGAGCACTAACCAACACAACCATTACAAACAAACACAACAGTTACTAACCAAAACATATGTCAAAAACTAACACAACTGCCAGAAACTACCTAACTTTTTTTTAAATGCAAACTAACTTCTGGACTGGAATTAACCAACATTCACCCCCTTGATTCCGGTCCTCATTCCTGCCAAATCTTTAATGCCCATCAATTGCCTCATCTCGATAAACATGACCATCGTGAATGCTTTAGTCAAGATATCAGCTTTCTGCTCGTCACCACTTACATGCTCAATCCTTGCTCTTTCTCGACACATTCAAGGATGAAATGATATCGAGTGTCAATATGCTTACTTCTCCCCATAGTTATTAATGGCGACCGCCATTTGCGCTTATGGCGCCAAAGGCGATGTGGCGAGGTCTTTCCGCCATACCTAGTAGGGGCGAGGCGTTTTACGTGAGGCGCGCCATGGCGGTCGCCATTCACGCCTGGATTTGTGGCGAGATGCGTGCGCCATCTTCGCTCTACGTTTGGATCAATGTAGAAGTGTTTTTTCGGCTGGTTTCCTCCGCTGAAGCTTAGCATCGTTAAATCTAAGCTATGATAGGAGTGGGTAATCTAGATCCATAACTCTTCTCTTTTTTAATTGTGCTTCGTATCCGGACTATTGATGAAATAAGACATAGTTTCTGAAGCTTTTTGAGCCGGCGAGAAAGAAAGTAGACGAAGAAATACCTCAGGAGGAAATGGAAGAGCGATGAAGTCTTCTCTGTGAAGTGAAATGGAGAAGAAGCTGGAGCTGAATGGAATGATATGGAGGAAGCTTGTGAAGATCATGTGATGTGAAATTGTTGGGCCACTCTAAGAATCAAAACTTGGATTGGGCCCTTATGTTAAGGCCCTTATAGTCTTGTTTCGTGGTGTAATACTAACGGCTGTTTCTTTGGGATAGGTCCCAAGAGCGTTAGGTTTCGTGGTGTAATACTAACGGCTGTTTCTTTCAACTGCTATACTCTACTAATGGAGAGCTTACAATTGATGTCATTTGATTGTGGAAAGTGCTGGTGCTCTTCCTTCAAGCTTGAGGACAATCTTGATATCCAGGAGGGATACAGTCATTAAGACAATCTTGATATCCAGGAGGGATACAGTCATTAATAAAAATAAAAATAAACCTAGTTTTTTTATTAGTAGTCTTGTTTTATTTTAGTTAATCTTCCTAAAGAGATCTACTTGAGATTTCCTAGAGGTGCTCACAAATATTTATGACCATCAATTTAAATTAATTTCAATTTTTGTAACCTTCAAGTTCTTAATCTAATGGTTGAAAAGCAGCATAATAAATATTTCTGGTTTTGTTTTTATTTTCAGCCACGAATATTTATGGCCATGGCTAGGGATGGGTTGTTGCCATCGTTTTTTTCGGATGTGGACAAACATACTCAAGTTCCTGTCAAGAGCACTCTAGTGACTGGTCTACTCTCTGGGGCCTTAGCATTCTTCATGAATGTCGATCAGTTAGCCGGAATGGTATGAAATAGATTTGAAGTAAAATTAAATCTTTTTCCTTGCGGTTTACTTCTTGATAGATTCACCATTGTACAGGTTAGTGTTGGTACACTTCTTGCTTTCACGGTGGTGGCAGTTTCTGTGCTCATACTTCGTTATGTTCCACCAGATGAGGTTCCACTTCCACCATCCTTTCAGGAGGCAATAGATGCTGTAACTATCCGCTATAGTGGCAGTAAAAGTGATGGTGACATTTTTGAGACTACCAAAACTGTTACTGCAGCCATGGATGATCATGTTCCATTGTTAATCAAGGCACCTTTTTGGCAGCCCCTTCAGCAGAAAGTAGCAGGTCACTTCAGCTGTAAGGTTTTAGATTATTTATATTTGTGGAATTTAGCATTAAAGTAGTACTACATCATCCTAATGATGTAGGAAGTAATATAATCCCACCAGAGCTGGCAAATCGGTCGGTCAGGTCGGGTTCGGTTACTTCAAGTTCGGGTTATTTCGCGTTCGGGTCAATTCGGGTTCGGGTTAAGAACTGTATGTTCATGACTCAGTGTCATCGGGTTCGGGTTGACCCAACGGGTTATGACTTTGGTTTTTTATATTTTTAAATTCACATTTACACTTATATTTTTTATTAAATAAATTTAAAATATCAAAAAAATGTATTAAATCTATAAAATTATTTTATTTTTAACTTTGAAGTAATTTTTAGATATACAAATCAATATAATGAATTTAAAAATGTTTAAGTTTCGGAAAAAAGTAAGATAATTATACAATATCATTAAAATTCTGTCTGAAAATATAAATTTATACACTAAAAACAAGTAATAAAGTATATGATTTTGAAAAATTCTTACTTTAGCGGGTCGGTCAGGTCGGGTTCGGTTTCGGTCGGGTTTGACCCATTTTTAGCGGGTCATTTCGGGTTCGGTCAACTTCGGGTTCGGTCATCAAAACCTTTGTTCAAAACCCAGTATTTTCAGGTCGGGGTTTGGGTCAAAAACAGGTTGGGTCATTTTTTGCCAGGTCTAAATCCCACTGTCAACTTTCCCAGTTTTGTTGACCCCAAAAACTATGTGCTTCCAATTTTAGGTTTAAACATAAGATTAAAAGGACAACTTCACCCTTTCTAATTTCATCCATAAAGTTAACTTTTCAAATGATTTGATAGTACACTTTTTATATGAAGTGAAAAAGTGTAAAAATAGTACCTGAGTAAGGGGCTGTTTGGCAACTTCTGAATAGGTAAGTGCTGAACGAGTAAGAGGTCTGAACTATTAAGAGCTAGTATATTGCTTAACTATTCAGAGGCAAATGTTTGATGATAAGAGGTCTTAACCATTTAGACTCAGTATAATACTTAACCATTCAGAGGCAATTGTCTGAACCATTCAGACATCTGAACCATTAAGAGGCTGAAACAAACAGTCTGAACCATTAAGTGCTGAACCATTCAGACATCTGAACCATTAAGAGGCTGAAACAAATAGCCAAGATTGACAAATTCCATTGGGATGGAGGAGTACACGATGTAATGGTGATGTAAATAAATACCTTAGCCGAGGATTATAGGCGTATAGTAATCAGGGGCATTCGTTTTTTGGATTTCAAATGGGAACCTACAGAGAAATTCCGATATCCAAATTTTTAGATCAGGAAAATCACGATCTGTATCCAATCCAGAAAAAAACACAGTTCAGTATCAACAATTATGTTTAGTTATTTCCTCTCATTATATAATAATGAAACATAAATAACAGGTTTAGTAAGTGAAAGGCGTAAACTTGCTGGATGGGCCATCTTGCTTAACTTTGCTGGGGTGCTTGTACTGGCTTCTGCTGCTTCTAGTGTTGGCCTGCCAAAGTATGTTCTAATTTTATGTTTTGACGGGTCCTAATTTTATGTTTTGAACCCCATATCATGCAATCTGCTATTGGCATGTGGCTTCTCATACAATAATAAAAATCAAAACTTATGAAATTTCTTGTGTATAAAAAGTTCATTCTTCTCCATAGCAACAAATAGTGAGTAAGAGAAGAACGAGAACGAGCTTTATATTGTTAAAAAGGCTCAACAACTAATGTTTGGATTACATTCTTTGGCAAATCATATTAAGATTACAACAAAGGGACAAACAGACTAGCTAGATCCCATGAAAAGTTACTAAATGAGAGTATATCTCAGTCATTCATTGCGAAACAGGGATGGATTAGATAAATACCTCATCAAGACATGGTGCCATGGTGGTGCACTCGTAAATATTTGTGATTTTAATGTGCAACACTCAATGATACAAAGTGCATCGGTCGAAACAAAGACTGCTTTTATTGGGGTGGTGCCCTTTTATATCTTTTGTTGCATCTGCCGCAAAAGCTTAACGATATGCCTTTTTTTATAATGATCAATCACCTATGTTCTATAGTTGATTAGTTGTTAACGTATAATGCACTAAATTAATAAACAGATGTCTAAGCTTCATACTTTATGGAATTGGTGGATCCCTTTTGCTATCTAGTTCGTTAGTTTTGACTTCCATACCCCAAGATGATGCAAGACACAACTTCGGACATTCAGGAGGTAAACACTGTAAATTATTACTCCCTCTTCCTATTTAATTTTCCCATTTAATTTTTGCACGAAGTTTAAGAAAAGTGAAGTTGTGCACTTGTGCTGTTGAAATTTATGCAAAGACAAATAATATGAATTAGACATTTCTTTCCATAAAATGAAATGAGAAAACTATTAAGGGACAATCCAGAAAGGAAAGTGGGATTAAAAAGGGTCAAATGGGGTATTAGCATTATTATTATTATTATTGTTATTGTTATAATTCTTATTATTGTATTTGCTCCAGAAAATAGTCATCTTTGTAATATTGCTTACAATGTTACAAACATGTCTTTGTGGCTGTTTTCGAGATAAAAGGAGTGTATCTAGAGTTGGCAAACAAGTAGGTCGGATTCAGGTTCGGAACTATCCAGTTCTAGTTATAGAGTGCTTGTTCATGACCTAGTATCTTCGAGTTTGGGTCGACCCAACGGATTAGGAGGTTTATTTTTGCTATTTAAATTTATACTAATATTTGTATTTTACATCAACAAAAAGCATAATAAAATATTAATATATATTAATCATAACGATTATAATGTTTTCTTTTGCAATTCTAATTAGTTTTCTTAGATTAAAAACTAAGATACTATGGAGCATAAATAATATACTCCGTATAATTTTCCAAATATTTAAAAATTAAAAAAGATCCAGATAAAAAATAAAATAATTATTAAAAAGTTGTTAGAAAAAAATATTGTTTACCATAGAATGGAGCAAAACAAATAAAAGTATGATAACATGGTATTTTTATCACTTTATATTCCATATTTTTTTTGGAAAACTTTATATTCCATATTAAAGTACACAAATTTGAAATAACCTTACCTCAACGGTCGGTCTAGTGGGGCTCGAGTTCGGTCGGGACTGACCAAATTTTAGCGGGACATATTTGGCTTCAAGCCACAAAATCCTTGCTCGAAACCCAATATTTTCAGGTCCATTTAGTAAAAAAACAACTCGGAAAATATTTTCTTTTTTGGGGGGAAAAGTGGAATAAATCTTTGTAAGGTCCCATTATACATTTTTCTTTTTACAGGGCATCAAGGTGCACATTTTGAAAACGGATAATGACTTTTTTGTGTCCAGGTTTTGTGTGTCCATGTGTTCCTCTTTTGCCCATCACCAGCATTCTCATCAACGTCTACTTGTTAATGAACCTTGGGTGAGTCTATTCATGCCGCGTAGATGCATTTATGTACTGTGAATTTGCTGATATACATGCAGGCATTCAACACAGTTTATATATATGTATATGTGTGTGTTTCATACTATTTGCAGTTGTGCAACTTGGGCGCGCGTATCCGTATGGTTGCTGGTAGGGATGGTTGTTTACATCTGTTACGGGCGGACCCACAGCATTCTGCGGGATGCGGTTTATGTGCCCGCAGCCCGTCTGGATGAAATTTACAGCCTAATTCCTCCTCATACTTCTTGACGTGAAACTCCACCTGGCATGTTGTATCCCTTGGCTGTATAGCGTTTCTTGCCTTCATACTTCAATGGTACTCCGCATTTTATATATAGTGCTGGTGCCCTGCCAGAAAAAGAAGAGGAAAAAACAAAAATGGCGGGAAAATGGAAAAATTAAAGACAGGTCTGTGAATGTGTAAACTTGTTAGCTTTTGTGATAATAATTATGTTGTCACTTCATAAGAATGTTGTTGTTATAAGAAGTGTTCATCTAATTGAAGTGCTCTCTAGTTTGCGGTGTTGGACAATTACAACAACATTACCCTAGTGCCTCAGCGGCTCCCGCCCATTGCGGGGTAAAAGAGGTCGGATGTACGTAGTCCGACGCCTATGTTTAAAACATAGAGCGGCTGTTTCCAGATGACACATGATGAGCGTCGAAAGTTGCATTGACCAATTGCTACTTCACAATTGCATGAAGCTTATATAGTTTAGCGAGCCAATTTGCTGTATTCCATCATATCCCAAAGCTAACAAATAGTTAATCTTCGGCTCCATAGGGGAAAGGAATTGCGGTGTTGGACAATTATAAAAAAAAAAGGTTATACTCCAACCTCCACTATGAACAGAAGATTGAAAAGAGTTAAATTGAGTTGTAATCTCAATCTTTTGAGAGAGTGGTGAGGTCTTTACTTGATGCTTGCACATACTTAAGAGCATTTGCATCAGGCGGTGAAAAAGACGGAGGAGTTCTCCTGGAGTAGAAGCTGCATTTGATTCTGAGTGAGGATGAGAAGTACTCCACATGCACAGATTCCAAGAGAGAAGGAGAGAGCTTCTCCGCGGAGAAGAAGAAAAAAAGAAAGGAAAAGGCCAATGATTGCTCGAGGAATGGCTTTGTTTTGTTTTCTACTTCTCTTGTAGATGTTCCGTATAAGGTGGAATAATAATTTTAAAACAATTTTTTTTATATAAATGAACTTGGAAATTTAATCTTGAATTATAATTTTTAAAATGATCTTTTTATTCTTTTAAAATGGAAATTTAATTTGTTTTTTCACTTTTTTAGGGAATTCAATAAGTGCACTCACGAGTCAATTTGGTCTCTGTAAGTTTTATTTATTCAAATTAGTCCTTGTAACTTAGAAATATGAATCAAATTAGTTCTTTATGCAAAATTAATCTTCTAAAATTCTAAGGTTAACACGATAATTGACACAAAAAACTAATACACGAGATCATTGCTCTTGCATCAATTAATGTCATAACTCAGAATTTTAGAAGATAAATTCTGTTCGAAAGGCTAACTTGATTTACATTTTTTTATGTATAGGAACTAATTTGACTCAAATGAACTTTCATGGACAAAATTGAGTTTTGAGTACACTTAGAAGGACCAAAATGCATGAGTATTAACTCAAGTTCCTTTTATTGCTAGGGTGATTCTAATTCAAAATTTTCTACAAGAGAATCTTAACTGTAGAGTGGTTTCCATTGAACTACTACAACTCTGTTGGAGAATTGTACATTTTACAATCTCTGACAATTAGAAGATGGGAGAGAGAAAGAGAGATGGAAACGAGGAGAAAAATATGAAAGAATTAAATTGGATGGAACGAGCAGAGTGAAGCTCGGCAAGGAATACTTGACAAATATTACGAGATAAAGAGAGTTGTTTAAAATTGAAAAGATGAAAGTCAAATTCATCTCTTTTCAAAAGAAGTCATGCTAGAAATCTATCAGGTTTGACATGAAGAGTTTGACACCAAGTATTTTATAAATGTACGTCCTCTTGTAAAATTATTTTATTTATAAATTTGTACAAAAACAAAAGGTACTTCATACAATTTACATATTTGATATTTCAAAACTAAGTTTTATAAAAGATGCCATAAGAATATTTTATTTTATCAAATTATCAATAAAGATATACCAATAAATAAAAATGATAAAAAAAATAAGAATTGTACGTGACACAATAATTATGAAAAGGAGAGGGTATACCGACAATATTCTTCAAAAAATTAGTCGTATTTGAGACGGCGCACTAATTGCAAAACTATTTTCATCAATATTATTTTTCCAAGCAAACACTCCCTAGTTGAAAATGCGACATGGGTAGAAATGGAATTTCAGATATTTTTAGGCCCCCCTATATCAGATCTACTCCCATTTACCAAATACTACCAAGTTACCAACCCCTCTGTCGGCATCATTCACCAAACTCGGAAACTCGAGAGACTTAAAAACAAGATAACACTCCGTACAAGCTTAAAGGCATCATTTAAGTGTAGTTATATTTAAAATTATTTTTGATTTAATTTAATTTAATCTCAACTAATTCCAATAAAAAAGTACAAAGTAATAAGAATAAATTAAAAAGAACATGATCTAATATTGTTTGGAAAAAACATTTTCAATTATAATTAACGTTTTAAATAAGGTTTTATTGATAGAAATCAAGTTTAAAATTATTAAATTTAAAAATTGTTTTTAAATGATTTTTTTTCAAAATGCTAATTCTAACCTAGATGGAAACCAGAAAGATATCACAATAAAAAAATCAAGTAACACCATGCTAGACTTATACTAAATTATTTTACCAATATTTTGATAATTTACATTAACATAAAATAAGTAATGCACAATTTTGTAATTGCATGGACATTTTGTGCGAGTGAAATTGTGGTGCAAAGTTGGGGGATGTAAAATGGGGATATAAATAACATTATTAAAATACAATCATCAAGAAAAATTGGAAATGGGTGTTTTTACGTCACTAGATCAGATCTACCAACCCCGTTGGGGGAATGGACCTATAAAAACCCGCTCTCCCCGCCTTGTACTCGCGTCGGTCACTTGTGCTTCTTCCATCATCGAACGATCCTCATTTCTTCCCACCTAAAGGTACGCTGGCTCGTTCATATCGTTCCATCTCTCGTTTGCTCTGCTTTATATGCTGCGAGTCCTGGTATTTGATTAAATTCGCCTTCCTGAATTCGCCGCAAGTAGCTAGCTTTCATGAAATCTGCATCTTAATTCCAGCTTTTCGTTTTGTCACACTTGTATATAGGCTCTTCATCTACTTGCAGGCGAGGATATATGCATCCCTGATCTGTTGTTTTATTGTTCGCATATTGCCTCTTAGCATCAACTGACTTTAAAAAGTGTATGATCTGTTGAATTTAATGAATTAATGGTGATCGGGGAGTAGATCTGGGACGGTGCATGCCAGTTCTGTAGTGGGTTGTTATAGATCTGGATTGATGTTTTTTTTAATATGTTTTTTGTATGATCGATGAGCAGATGTGCGTTTAGTTTATTTATGGTTAACGTTTTGAAATGTTCTCACGTGCTTGCTTGCATTGTGATTGTTTATCCGAATATGGATCCGAGTCTTATGATTGATGGATCTAATGGATTTGTTGCATTGTAAGCATGCATGCGAATGTGTATCATTTGCACTTTGAAAATTAAAATTGATTGACAGTTATTGGATTTGTTCAAAAACCAGAAAAAAATGGCGTCTCACATTGTTGGGTACCCCCGTATGGGACCAAATAGAGAGCTTAAGTTTGCTCTGGAATCTCATTGGGATGGAAAGAGCAGTGCTGAAGAGCTGCAGAAGGTGGCGGCCGAGCTGAGGTCATCCATTTGGAAGCAGATGGCTGGTGTTGGGATCAAGTACATTCCCAGCAACACTTTCTCTTACTATGATCAGGTTCTTGATACCACTTCCATGCTCGGTGCAGTCCCTCCAAGGTACAACTGGAATGGCGGGGAGATTGGGTTTGATACGTACTTCTCTATGGCCAGAGGAAATGCCTCTGTGCCGGCCATGGAAATGACCAAGTGGTTTGATACCAACTAGTAAGTGTGATCATGTTGCATTCCATGTTCTCTTTATTGTGATGCACTCCTAATTACTTAGATTTAATTAAGTTCCATGTTTTGATCCAGCCACTACATTGTCCCTGAGCTGGGCCCTGATGTGAAATTCTCTTATGCTTCTCACAAGGCAGTGACTGAATACAAGGAGGCTAAGGCGGTAGGATATGCAAATGCAATTCAATGTTTCATATGAATATTTTGAATTTGTTTGTTGATAATTGATTGAGTTCCACATTCATTGGCTCAGCTTGGTATAGATACCATCCCAGTTCTAGTTGGTCCAGTATCATACTTGTTGCTATCCAAACCTGCCAAGGGAGTTGAAAAATCATTCCAACTTTTGTCTCTCCTGGACAAGATCATTCCAATCTACAAGTAGGGATCTCAGATTCTGTATCAATCTTTTTATTATTATGAATTCCTTTAGACAGTGGTGTGGTCCCCTAGCTATTTGTAACAAAATTCAACCCTCACTGCAGGGAAGTTATTTCTGACTTGAAGGAAGCTGGTGCTTCTTGGATCCAGTTTGATGAGCCCCAGCTTGTGTTGGATCTTGAATCTCACCAGTTGGAAGCATTCTCTAGGGCTTATTCTGAGCTGGAGTCATCTTTTGGTGGCCTTAATGTTCTTGTTGAGACCTACTTTGCTGATGTCCCTGCCGCAGCATTCAAAACACTTACATCTCTGAAGGGAGTTACTGCCTTTGGTTTTGACCTGGTCCGTGGATCTAAGACCATAGACTTGATTAAGGGTGGGTTTTCTTCAGGAAAACTCCTGTTTGCTGGAATTGTTGATGGCAGGAACATTTGGGCAAATGATCTTGATGGATCTCTCAATATCTTGAAATCTCTTGAGGATATTGTTGGGAAAGGTAAGCTTCATGAAATTTGTAATGTCTTTTTTCAGTTTTATTACAAAAAACAAAAACAATCTTTTATATCTGATATTGCAGACAAGCTTGTTGTATCTACTTCTTGCTCCCTTCTACACACTGCTGTTGATCTCGTTAACGAAACCAAGCTTGATGATGAAATCAAATCATGGCTTTCTTTTGCTGCCCAAAAAGTTGTTGAAGTAAATGCGTTGGCCAAGGCATTGAGTGGTCAAAAGGATGAGGTATAAATTTCATTAACAAGTCATCTTGTTTCTAAAAAGACTTTTAAAAGGTTAATAGCATGTTCTATGTACGTAAGAAAAGCCTGCTACCAGTCAATCTTGTCTGGGTTATAAAAGGTATGGTATGAGTCTACTGGATGTGGGTGCTTATACTTGTAAGCTTTTATTTCCAGGCATTTTTCTCTGCTAATGCGGCTGCTCAAGCTTCAAGAAAGTCATCTCCAAGAGTTACTAACGAAGCTGTTC